TATGGCAACAAATTGTCTAACCAGGTGAAATAAACAAATTACTAGAAACACAAAGCCTACTAAAAATAAATCAGAAAGTAATAGACAATCTAAATAGACAGAGAAATAATAAGGAGATTGAATCAGTAATAAAAAATTTCCTGCCAAAGAAAAGCTCTACCCCTGATAGCTTTACTGGTGAATTATATCAAACACTTAGAGAGAAAACAATACCATTTCCTAACTCATTCTATAAGGCCAGTATTACCCTACTACCCAAGTTGGACAATAACAATAAAAAAATAAAAATAAAACCATAGACCAATTTCCCTCACCAATATTAATGCATAAATCCACAACAAAATACTAGCAAACTGAACTCAGCAGCATATTAGTAAGATTATATACCATGACCAAGTAAGATTTATTCTGGGAATGCATAAATGGTTCAACATATGAAAATTAATTAATGTGATATAACTTGAATAGAATGAAGGTAGAAAAACCCACATAATCATCTCAATTGAGGTAGAAAAAACATTTGACAAAATTCAACATCCTTTCACGATAAAACCCTCAACAATCTAGGTTAGAAGAAAACTAACTCAACAATAAAATCTCTATACAAAAAACCCTACCATTCATCAAACTCAGGTGTGAAACACTCAAAAGCTTTTCCTCTAAGATCAGCAACAAGACAAACATGCCCACTTTTACCACATCTATTCAACGTAGTACTGAAAGTTGGATTGGAGGATTTAATATTGTTAGGCTGTTAATTTTACCCAAAAGTGACCAACAGACTCAATGCAATTATATCAAAATTCCTATGTCTTTTATGCAGAAATAGAAAACCATCCTTAAATATACTTGGGTCCCAAGGGACCCCAGATATCCAAAATAATCTTGAAAAAGAAGAATGAAGTTGGAGGACCCATACTTCCTGATTTCAAAACTTTATAAAACTACTGTAAACAAAACAGTGTGGTGTGGCACAAAGACAGACATATAGACCACTGGAATAAAAAAGAAAGTCGGCAAATAAACCCTCCCATATATGGTCACATGATTTTTGATAAAGCTATCAAGAAAAGCTTACCAACGTACTCTGCTACTACCTGCTTAAGATTGCCTGTCTCTGGATACCTTAGCCCAAAGTATTCTTTCACTTACAGAAAAAGAGACTAAACATTTTTCTGTGTGTTTACTTGTCATCTTATTTTGTGACTTGCCTTATTTTTATTTTGTGATGTGCCTGATTGTAATTCTTGCTAGCTTTTTACTGGAGTGTTTTACTTCTTACTTCTTATTGATTCTGTATATTAGGTACATTAACCCTTTGTATGGCATATGGTGAATCTGTTGAACCAACACATGTTATTGAAACTTTGCCCCACTGATTTGAATTGCTACTTTTACTGTACAGTAAATTAATATATATGCATATGAATCTAGTTCTGGGCAATATACCACAGTGATTAGGAGTATGGACTCTGAAACTAGGCTGCCTTAATTCAATTCCAACCTCTCAGGAAGAGACTACTTGGTTGTAAACACCCTAATATCAATAATTACCTAAATTCCAGCATTGTTAATCTGACAAATATATAAATAATATAAAATGAAGTACTATGTAAATATTTGAAAAGTGAATAATATAAAATATATACCAGAAACTCTAGTTATTAAGTCATTACAATATGCTAGATACTTCATATATATTATTAATTCATTTGATACTTAAAACACACTAGGGATTTATGTATTATCATCACCACAGGTAATAAAATGAAAGCAAACATACTTAGGTAAATTACACAAAATTATGCAGTTAGTAAGTGAGAGAGCTCGGAGTTTAATCAACAGGCCCTAAATATAAGAATATTACTATGAGGGTGCTGGAGCTGAGGAAATGGGCCCGAAAGAACCCATCTCTTTGTTTACTTCACACTTGTACCTAGTAGCCTTGTCTCTTCAGTTTATTTTCTACAGTGCAGCCTAAGTGATCATACTCTAAACAAGGAATCAGCAAACTGTGACTTGTCATCCAAGTTCAACCCAAACTAAGAATGGTTTTTGGAAAAGAAATCACAGGAACAGTTTTACGTGACACTTGAAAATTATATTCAAATTTCAATGTCTATATATAAAGTTTTATTGGAATACATCCAAACTTATTTGTGTATGTATTGACTATGCCTGCTTTTGCTCTATAATGGCAGAGTTAAATAGATGCAACAGAGCCCGTATGGCTTGTAAAAAGTCTAAAATATTTGCAACACTTAGCCAGACATGGCACATGCCTGTAATGTTAGCTCCTTTGGAGGCTAAGATGGGAGGATTGCTTGAGTCTAGGAGTTCAAGGTTATAGTAAGCTATGATCACACTACTACATTCCAACCTAGGTGAAAAACTGAGACAAGAAAGAAAAGAAAGAGGAAGGAAGGAAGGGAGGGAGGGAGGGCGGGTGGGCAGGAAATAAGGAAGGAAAGAAGGAAGGGCAGGAAATAAATAAGGGAGGAAGGGCAGGAAATAAGGAAGAAAGGAAGGGAAGTAAGGAAGGAACAAAGGAAGGAAGGAAGGTAGGAAGGGAGGGAAAAAGGGTGGGAGGGAGGAAGGGAAAGGCAGGAAGGCCTGCCTAAAGAATTTGCTACCTGGGCCTTTATAGGAAAAGTTTTCTAGCAAATATATTGATAATATCAATCTTCTGTTTAAAACGATTTAGAAGATTCCTATTGCCTTTGAGATAAATTCTAACTCCTTTATATGGAATGTAAGCCCCTTTAGTCTCTCTGCTTTGTAGCCCTATCAACTTTCTTGTCATGTTGTATGTCTTGTAACTTTTTACTACTGATAATATGCTAGTACAAAATGGACTATTTTCAGGTTAACTGATACAGTTTGTATGATCCCATTGTGATTCATATGTCATTATCTTTAGTCTTTTAGGAAAAGACATCTCAGAGGTAGAAAATCATGTATAAGTAGGAATAGTCTTGTTTATTTTACAAGCTTTTAATTTCAAAAAATGTAATATTTTCCAATCTGTAGTCTATAGAACTCTGGCTAGATGAAATTTAGATAGTAAGAATTAATCTATTAAAAGAATAAATTCTTTTAGACAATTTCTACATGGAAACTTAAATGTATATAGTAGATACATGAGCTTAAATAGAACTTTGAGGCTTTAATGCTCTCAATATTTAGAGCTTCTGTAAAGCAGACCTTTGGGCTATAAATATAGCTATGTATGAAGAGTAACAATGCAGCATTCTAAATAGTGACTGTTTGCTTCTCAAATAAAAAGGATAGTAAAACCATTTCTATACTTCCCTTATTTTAAATTTTCATGTTTTATGTGTAAAAATCATCATGGGTTAGGGTTAGCCTATCAATAGAAAGGCTATTGGATGAAGGAGATTTTATATTGGACACTTTACACTGTTATTGGCTAAACTGAGACTAAAGGCTGAAAAAGGTTAAGATTTGAGAAAAGTTTAGAAGGTATCTTTCATGATTATGTTTATAAATTAATAATTAAATATTAGACATTACAGAACATAATACCTTGAGAGACAAATTTTACCAGGCACCAAACATTTAAATACTCATCTCTTTATATCTTCTCTTGGCTAGAAAAAGATTAAAACTATCGACATAAAAAATAAAGAAATATGCAGAAAATCTTTTATTGGGGTAAGTGGCAAAGGTGAAAAGGTAAAGATAAGGAAAAAAGTCAATGGGGCTGGAAAATCTAAAAAGTGCAATTAATTTTCTGACACTGTGATGTCTGCATGTATAGATTTTGATGAAAATAATAAAATCTTCCCTCAATATAATATGCCTGCTCAATTAGATATCACAAAATGCAGATGATGAACAATAGAATGTTCACACTTTTGAAAGTAATTAGGCTTTTTCATGATCCATAAAAATATAATGGATCATTATTCATGATTTTTCATGATCCATATAATTAATTGAATGATGTACATTTAGAATTTAAATATCAAACTTAATCCAAAGATGACTGATCTAATGTGATGAATGCATAATAATATCTAAAACATCAAAGCTTAAACTACAAAATGTCTTCATTGCGCACAAAATTCAAGAAAAGCACCTTCTAGAAGTATTTCTTGCTTTCAAGAAGCTTCTGCTCTATTGTTTCTGTGACAACAATGAAATTGCTGTCTAACAATGTCTAAACCATCCCAGCTTAATCTAAACTACACAGTGTCTTCATTGTGCAAAAGATTCAGGTAAAAGTGCCTTCTAGAAGTATTCCTTCTTTCAAGGAGCTTTTGTTCTATTGTTTCTGTGAAAACAATGAAGTTGCTGTCTAACAGAATATGCTGGGAAACTAGGAAAGGACTCGTAATTTGTTCATTTGATCTCAACATGGCTCTGTGGTGCAAGACCTTTTAAAACAGAAACCTGATACAGAGTTTCTTTTTTCATAAGAAACTGGTCAGTTTTACTGTTCTGTAGCTAATAAATAGGAGAGCCAGAATGTACCTGATTTTGACCTCTTAGATACACTTTGTACTATGGTTACTTTAAAAATATATGTGAGAACATTCATACTTTGTTACTCTACACTGAAATCTAAGAGACAAACAAAGCACCTTCAAGATTTGTGGGACATGTTTTGCCCTATGTCCTGGATTCTACAGCTTTACTTCAGAGACTGAATTAGAAAGACATTTAAGCTTATTAGATAGATAGGTGTCATCCCCTTGTATCAAGGTACATGAAGAGAAAAGTTCAAGAATTATAAATTCTTAGAAAACATAAAAGATCCATTGGATTCAGCAAGGAAAATGGCAACAAATCAAAAGATACTAGATGGCTATTGACCAGTTTCACGAAGGCAAACCTGCAAGTCAAGATGGAATAATGGTTTCCCACCATGTGTCTAAGACTACAAATGACACTAATCCTTTTTAATGATCACAAAAGCTGACAACTTACTCAGCCTTAGAACTGAAGGCACAAAATCATCTCTGAAAATGACTCACCATAAACAGGTCACGAGCACCAATGTCAACAGCTAGGAGAAATGCCTTTTCAAATCTCTGGTACCTACAAAGCAGAAAAAAATGTTATGTTAGTTGTTAACAAGAATATATAAAAGGAAAGAGCTGTTTACTTAACATATTTGTGTGATACTGTCATTATCCTTCTGATTGGAAAAATATTTTCAAATAGAAGGGATTTGGCTTACTAGGATCTTCCATATGTGAAAAGTTGTTACATTTAGGAGGGGCTGAGGTACAGAGCCTGTGGAGGCCTTACTTTGAAGAATAAACATAACCCCAAGTAGACACTGCTGACTATGATAGCTTAGGAAACATGTTGCCTCTTCTTATTAGTCCTTCTCAGCTACAGAAATCAAAAGGCAATTGTGTTTAATTTTGTGAATGAAGAGTGTCTTGTACTAGAAAGTTTATTGATTCATTATATATTCAGTGGAGGTCGGTTATACTAAGGAAGAGGTCAGAGGATTAGCAAATTGTACAATTTGTCCATGCATTTACTGCAGTGTTGCATTTTTCCCCATTCCATTGTAACTATTCTGGCAATACTAATTATCCATTTTCTTTTTCATTTCTTTTTTAATACAGGGCCTCACTCCGTCACCCACACTGAAGTGCAGTGGTGCAATCATGGCTCACTGCAGCCTTGACCTCCAGGGCTTAGGTGATCCTCCTACCTCAGTCTTCCAAGTAATTGGGACTGTAGGCGTGCACCAATACGCCCAGATATTTTTTTGTATTTTTCATAGAGGTGGGGTTTTTGCCATGTTGCTCAGGCTGGTCTCAAACTCCTGGGCTCAAGCAAACCACCAACCTCAGCATCTCAAAAGCACTGAGATTACAGGCATGAGCCATTGTCATCCATCTTCTTAGGATCAAACTTAAAGATAAATTCTCATCTTGCGTGTCCTTTTGGTCATATCTAATTCTATAAACGGCCCTTCCTTGAAACCCTCTCCTACCTTGGCTTGCCCTGCTTTCCTTAATTTTTTGTTTTCCCTTCCTTAGATTGTGTTCTTCTCAGTCTCCTTTGCTGGTTCATTTTTCTCTGCCTCCCCATGAAATCAGTATTCTATGATCTTCTTTTATTTTACCCACTCTCTCCAATCTCCTCAATAACCTTATCACTCCCCGGACATTGTTAATCAATTATCAGTGGCTTATAAATCTATATCTCTGGGATCCATATCTTCTCCGAGCTCCAAATTATTATTTCAAGGCACCTCAAAGCTAAGATGTCTAACACGTTCACTGAAACATCAATTTGGCAATCATATAGGGGAAACTGAAATTGGAGAGAGTGAAATTAACAGGGATAAGTTAGGATGTGCTCTTCCTTCCAGGTGAGAGGTAATGATAGACAGTAGACAGTAGATGGTAATGATACATAGTAAAATAAAAAAAACTGGAAGCATGGTGAAACAGAAATAGCAAAAGGAGACTCCCAACTAGATTGTTTATAGAATATAGAACCTAGTTAAAGTACATTAAAGTACATCACAGGACTATGAAAGGAAAGTAAGTAAATACCAAGGGGGCCATATTCTAAATAAAAAAATAACCAATTAAGCAAAATCCCTTTATAGAATCACAGTGAGGACTCCTCAGCAGACAACAACTAAGGGGGAAAACAGGGCAGAACTACTTACAGGGCCATTCCCTTAGGAGATGAGTCTGAACAAAACTCAAGTTAAAGCTGATAAGCTCAGACTGCTGATTAAGCCAAGTACAAGAGCTAAACCCAAGAATTCTGATTAAGCCAAGGGCTAAAAGAGACCCAAGTTAGTAGTGCCCCTAACTTTCACAGAAACAAATAAATAAATTCATGTCTAGATTAAAGCCCTTCTAATAGAGGCCCTCAATGATTAACATAAATTAAAATCAAACAAGTATGAGTTCACAATCAATGATCATCAAAAACATAAGAAAATGAGGCACTATAACTAAAAATTAGAAAAATAACCAATTTACATCTCCAAGGATTTCAGATAATTGAATTGTTAAAGTAGGCATATAAAATAATTCAATATAAATATTTAAAGAAAGAAATGAGGGAGTCATGAAAATAAGCACGTAATATCATACAATAAAGAATCAGGTTAATATTTTAAAGAATAAAATAGAACTTTTAGAAATAAAAGAATTAATAACTGAAGTTAAATAATTAGACACTTTTTTTTTTTTTTTTAAATTGGGTCTTGCTCTGTTACCCAGGCTGGAGTGCAGTGGCTTGATTATAGCTCTCTATGGCCTCAACCTTTTAAGTACCTCAAGTCTCTTAGGAGACCTTGAATCTCCTAAATAGCTGTGACTGTATACAAGCATGTGCCACGTGCTGGAGTAATACGTTTTTTTTTTTGTAGATGTGAGGTTTCATTATGTTGCCCAGGCCGGATTCAAATCCATGGGCTCGAGTGATCTTCCTGCCTCGGCCTCCCAAAGTGCTGGGACAATGGGTGTGAGCCCCACTGTGCTCAGTCAATTTGACACATTTGAAGAAAGAATTGGTGAAGTAAAAGTGCATAAATTATGTATAAGTCAGGAACTACTCGGAATGTTACACAGAGAAAATAGAGATTAAAAATATAAAGACAGCTAAGCAAATTAAAGAATATGAAAAAGTCTATTATGACTACACAGGGGATTAAGTTAATGGATAAGAATTTCCAGACATGATAAATGATATGAGACAATCAGCACAAAAGAAACAATGTATATCAGGCAGGATAAATAAAAACAATATTTAAAATATTCACATTTGTAATGGAAATGCAGAACTGAACAAAAAATGAAAATTAGGCCAGGCAAGGTGGCTCACGCCTATAATCTCAGTACTTTGGGAGGCTGAGGTGGGTGGAGCACCTGAGGTCAGGAGTTTGAGATCAGCCTCGCCAACATGGTGAAACCTCATCTATACTTAAAAAAAAAAGAAAAATTAGCTGGGAGTGGTGGCGGGTGCCTGTAATCCCAGCTGCTCAGGAAGCTGAGGCAGGAAAATCACTTGAATCTGGGAAGAAGAGGTTTGAGTAAGCTGAGATTGTGCCACTGCACTCCAGCCTGGGCCAGAAGAGTGAAACCTGGTGTCACAAAAAAGAAAAANAAAAAAAAAAAAAAAAAAAAAAAAAAAAAAAAAAAAAAAAAAAAAAAAAAAGAAAGAAAATTTATATGGAACCAAAAAAAAGCCTGAATACCCAAAGCAATTCTAAGCAAAAAGAACAAAGTTGGAAGCATCAAATTATACACTTCAGATTCCTACAAAGCCACAGTAAACAAAACAGCATGGTAATGGTACAAAAACAGACACATAAACCAATGGAACAGATTAAAGAACTTAGTAAAAAAGCCAAACACCTGCAACCGACCTTCTGATCTTTGACAAGGTAGACAATAGCAGCAATGGGAAAAATGACTTCTTATTTAATAAATGGGGCTAGAATAACTGAATAGTCATATACAGATGACTGAACTAGGCCCCTTCCTTTCAATATATAAAAAAATCAATTAAAGATGAATTACAGACTTAAATGTAAAACCTTAGAAGAAAACCTAGGAAATATAATTATGACATAGCCCTGGCAAAGATGTCATGACAAAGACTCCACAAGCAATTGCAAGAAAAACAAAAAATTGACGAATGGGAAGACCTAATTAAACTAAAGAGCTTCTGCGGCCATGCGTGGCAGCTCATGCCAGTAAACCCAGCACTTTGGGAGGCCAAGGAGTGTGGATCATGAGGTCAGGAGTTCAAGACCAGCTTGGCCAAGATGGTGATACCCCGTCTCTACTAAAAATACAAATACTAGCCAGGCATGGTCACGGGCCTCCTGTAATCCCAGCTATTTGGCAGGCTATGGCAGAGAATTGCTTGAACCCGGGAGGTGGAGGTTGCAGTGAGCCAAGATCACACCACTACACTCTAGCCTGGGTGACAGAGTGAGACTCTGTCTCAAAAAGAAACAACAACAACAACAACAACAAAAAGCTTCTGCATAGCAAAAGAAACTATCAAGAAAGTAAACAGACAACCTACAGAATGGGAGAAATACTCACCAACTATGCATTTGACAAAGGTCTAATATCCAGAAACTATAAAGAAGTTAAACAAATTAACAGGCAAAAACTTACAACCCCATTAAAAAATGGGTAAAGGATATGAACAGACACTTCTCAAAGTAAGACAAGCACTTAGCCAACAAGCATACGGGAAAATCACTGATCATTAGAGAAGTGTGAATCAAAACCACAATGAAATACCATCTCATTCCACTCAGAATGGCTATTTTATTAAAAAGTCAAAAAACAGCAGATCCTGGCAAGGGTGCAGAGAAAAAGGAACACATATACACTGCTGGTGGCAATGTAAATTAGTTCTGCCACTGTGGAAAGCAGTTTGGAGATTTTTCAAAGAATTTGAAAAGAAATGTTATTCAACCCAGCAATCCCATTACTGTGTATATACCCAAAAGAATATAAATTGTTCTACCATAAATATGTGATGTGTATGTTCATTACAGCACTATTCACAATTGAAAAGACATAGAATCAACCTAGATGCCCATCAGGGGTTGACAGGATAAAGAAACTGTGGTATATATACACCATGGAATACCATCTAGTCATACCAAAGAAAGAGATCATGTCATTTGCAGCAACACTGATAGAGTTGCTGGCCACTATCCTAAAAGAATGAATGACATGCAATTTACCTTTGTAACAAACCGGCTGATGTACCCTTGAACCTAAAAGTGCAAGAAACCAAAATAACTTATACATAAAATTAAAAAAAAAGAAAAAGCTGCCAGAGAGAAGATATATCATCTACAAAGGAACTACAAATAGGCCGATCCTAGACTTCTTACTGGCAAGAACAGGAGGTAGAAAACAGTGAGAAACTATCTTCAAATTATGGAGCAAGAATAAGCATCACGTCTCTGAGCAGAGACTCCTCCAATTTGTCGATTTTTGTTTTTGTTACAATTGCTTGGGAAGTCTTTGTCACGGTGCCTTTGCCAGGGCCTATGTCCAGATCAACATTTCCTGGGTTTT